GGACTGATCTTCTTTTTCAAAACATTCAGAAGAACATTGCTATGCTATCATTGCTCTCCATCCTGCATTTAAGATTTCCATTTCTCTCACATTTCGGAGGTTGTTTTTAAATCCTTATTTCTGAAAACGTTTGTTTTTGAAAAAGAAAAAAAGTTGTAATTATCTTCTTTATCATCTTTTAGATGTAAGATGATCCCTCACCTCCCATGTTTATGTAAGAGTTATTTCCTAAATAGGATTCAAATGTGTTACTCTTGCTTCCTCCAATGAGAAGGAGGTCTGATAGCATCTTTGCAGGCTTGTTAATTTGAAAATTGCTGTGAGAAAATTTTTGGTGCCTCCTAACTTTTGAAACCCATAGTCCATTGTTTTCAACCTGGGCAGCTTTAAAATGCATGGACTTTAACTCCCAGAATTCCCTAGCCAGGGAATTCTGGGAATTGAAGTCCACGCATCTTAAAGCTGCCCAGGTTGAGAAACACTGTCACTGTCACAATCTATTGTGGCTTTTCTTCTATAATGTCTGGCTGCCTTCAAGGACAGATAGCTCTGTTGGATGGTGAACGGTTTTACTACTTAGTAAAACAAATGGAGCAGGATTTACTTCTCACCCGTACCCAGCAGAAACTGCCAAAAAAAATAAGTAATAGCTTGCACCAACAGTCCTGTATAATTGGATGTTTTAAGCATACAGAAGTCTTTAATGACAGAATTCAGTTCTTGCTTTCACCATCATATGACCATATCACCTTGGTCATATGTAGATAAAAAATACTGGAGACAGATCCTTGAAATGGCTGGATTTTATTTTTTCTAAATTGAGGGTGGGCTATTTGCCTGCTTGTTCAGTCAGCGGTTTCAACTAAAACTTTCCCAAAAGTTCAAACTGAAATTTGTGTAGTACTGGAAGACCTTGACCCAATTAACATTCCAATACTGAACCTATTTAGCTAACCTCACTGGGAGATTTCTTAGTAATCATTTCTAATATTGCACAGTACATTAGAGATTTCTTCTTTCACTTCATTTTAATTTATATTTGTGCCTCCTGTGATACTCCCAACTTTTTTTCTCTCTCATGCTGGCAGGGAGGAGTTTTACTGTACTGCTTAGAATGATTGGGAATGCCATTTCTGATTTTTTTCTCTCTCTGCCAACTTTGCTTCCAACTTGATAAAGCATATTGTACAACCCAAAAATTTAATGTTGTGCTACTTCGTGACATTCGGGACTATCTTAATAGAGGGATTCCCCAATAGGGCTATCTTTGGGGATTTGGAGCCTTGGTACTTGCAGAATTCCCAATGCCATGTCTCTTTGCAGAACTGTCAGACTGAACTTTCATCCCCCCCCACCTTTCTTTCTTGCTGAAATTTTAAATGTAAAGGATCCTTCTTTCCCCAGTGCCCGAGGCTGTCCCTGAAGATCTGCTGATTGAGATGATAAACAGCACTACAATCAAGCTTTCTTGGATCCTTCCCAACAGAGAGAAAATTTGGGGACATCTCAAAGGATTCAAGGTATGGCATAAGAACTTTGCATTGTATCCTGGAGGACAGCATTTGAATTACTTTTTAAATTACTTGGGTGCCCTCGAGATATGTTAGAATTGGACATATCTAGTGGTTGGTTAGATTTCTGCATCCTAATTGCAGTAATACTACTCCTAGAATCTTCGAAGGGCAGACTAGCTGGAGTATTATGGCTTAAAATTCAAAATATTTGGAAAACTCCACATCCAGAGTGGGGTTGGTGGTGGTCGAGAGAAATCTGTTCTGTCCGAATTACTGTAAACATTACCTCTCGTATAAATCCTGTTAACTGCTTTCATACTGTAAACTTTATCCATCATATGAATTCTCAAGCTATTGTAATATTGCATTTCCAAGTAGTAAAACCAGAGTAAATAATGTTAAAAGAGTCAACTGACGCAGAACAAATTTCACCACGTAAGAGGAACAGCGGAAAGTCCTCAGGTATAATATAGCCACAACAGGTTACAAGATGCAGATGTTTGTGGTACAGAACTGAGATTGATTTGATGCAGAATTGCTTTTTAATTTTTTTGTTTTTTAAACTCAGGGTAAACACTAGCCTGTGGGACTTCAGCAAGACTCTGAATAGAACTGCCATTCAGCCAGAAGTTTACTGCCCAGGCTAGAATTACAACTGAATGTAAAACCAGAAATTGTATGTTTTGTTTGTATCATTTCCCTGCTTTTTGTGAGAGATTCCATGTTAAAGGTGCCCTTCAGGGAAGGGAACATTCGATACATGCTGGAAAGTATTTTGGCCTTGTATGCCTTCTATTCGTACAAATTAAGAAGGAGACATAATTCTTGACATGCTCAGAGGCACCCTTCCAACGCATTTTGGAGGGGAGGAGTGAGCGATTCCACTTACGATGACAGGCATTTTAAAAAAAACAAAAAACTTGCCAATATTGAGTGAGCTGGTGGACGTGGATGTTCTTGAATCCGGGCAAATAATTTCTCCCTCTTTCTCTTTCTTTCTCTGAAATTCCATCTTCACCAGGTGTATTACTCCAGGCTGGGAACTCTGGCAGAACGAAGCCGCCGACAGGCCCATCTTCACTTCCATCCCCACGGGGAGCTGTTGATTTTGGGGAATGTGTCTGAAGTCATACTGGGGGGCCTCAGGCCCTGGAGCCGGTACCAGGTTCAGCTGGCAGTGTTGAATGGGCGGGGGGAGGGGCCCCGCAGCGAGGCCATGGACTTTGTTACACCTGAGGGAGGTAAGAACCGGCGGCCTTTCCCCCCCCCTCCCCGCAGACCTTCCGATCTGTGCTTCCCTCTATCCACCTTCTGAACTTCTGTCCAACTTTTGCTCCTATTCCTAAAAGCTCTCTCTGTCCATGTTACTTTCTTTAGACCTCGCATTATGTGCAGAATATCTGACAGAATGTACAAAAGAGTTGAAACATGAGCTGTGAGCACCGAAATACTTTGCTCACAGACCAGATCTGAAAAGCATGGGATGTAGCAATAGCAATAGCAATAGCAGTTAGACTTATATACCGCTTCATAGGGCTTTCAGCCCTCTCTAAGCGGTTTACAGAGTCAGCATATCG